CGGTCCCAGAGCGCGGCCCCGATAGTCGAGCGGTTGCAGGGCTCCGCGTTTGCGAGGGGGAGAGCCGTTCATACGGTCGCTTACCCCGCTGCATTGATACCTGCCGGCTGCATTGATTTGATGGGGCATGATGCTGCTCCCCTGAGGGCTTTTGCAGTCATTTTTTACCCCTTTTTAACATTTTTTTTTCCTGATTACTAACTCTGGGAGAATTCTGTTAAATAATTTCAAAATGAAATGGTGGTCTCAAGCTCTTTGGTTTGCTGTCTACTTCTAGATCACTTTTTGTGAGCTGGTGGTGTTGAAGCTGAATGAATGGAACAGTTAGGGCAGATAGGAAACTTGCATTTCATGCTCTCCACAAACAGCGCTGTGTCTCTGAAGTGATCTGGAATCCCTGCAGCCCTGTGTCCTGAGAGGCTCTGAGGAACTCTGAAGGTAAAAAAAAATAGGTTTGATAGCATTCCTTCCTAACCCTTGGTTACACTGAGTATTTAAAGGAGAATCCTGTTCAGTACTCTTGCCAGCCTTCTTCCCACATTTACACCTTCTTTTAGGCCATCTGCCTGTTCTGCTTTCCCAAAGAGCAGGTGTATTGCTAGCAAACACAGTCTTACTCTTTTGTGATGTGAAGTAAAACAAGTTTCCTACATGTGGTGTCCTGCTGTTGGCTCAGGAGAGTGATTGCTGTAACAGGATAAAAATATGCATGTTGTTGTATTCCCTTCTGCCATGGTACAGTAACTTCTTAAAATGCTAATCCATTCTCCAGTCTTAGAGTTGATTTTTTTTTCCCAGTAACTTCATTTTGTGCTGTTCTGTGGTGTTTGTTTTTCTTTTCAACTCTCCTGACTCGCCTTTTTTTCTCCTCCCATCTGTGAAGTGCATGCATCTAGTAATTCCCTTGAATGTTGCTGCTAGTTTGGCCTTCGCCTTCTCTTTTATGAGCTGATGCTTTGACATTTTTACGTGTCTCACTTCTTTCAAAAATATGTATAATACTCTGTGAAGCACTTCTACTTGAGTACCTGTTTACTACTGCCTTGTGTTGTCTTATATTCATTGCATATCTTAGTTTCAGCCATAACTTAATTGAAATAGCTTCTGCTGTTAGAATAAAATGTGCTGGCAGTGCCATACGAGCATACCTTTTGTGAAAACAATGAAGATTCTTGCTGACAGCCTATAAAGGCAAAGTATTTCTATTATCAGTCTTTGTCTTTATAATTAACATTAGCATCAGTAACATACCTCCTACCTATTTTTCTGTGTAGAACCTTTTGCACAGTGTGGCACGATCTCATAAACATGCAATGTCTTTCTTGGTGGTCTTTTCTGGTAACTCTTTCTTACTGACTGTGCTTACTACTCCCATTGAGCCCTGCTTGGGGATGGTTCACTGTCTTGTCCATATTGAAAATTCAACTGTGTTCTCACTGGGACAAATGCAACACCCACTAGATTGTGGCGACTGTAGCTACCTCAGTTGTTTCTACCTATCCCCAAAGCTGTGCATCACAAGGATTGAATGTCAGTAGATAGCTGTGTCCCTTCTACCAAGTGGGTAATGAACATTGGACAGTGCTTTAATTTACTGTTTGATGTTTAACACTTAATTCTGCTTGTGAACTGCTCTTGGTTGGCAGCTGATGCCAGCTCTGCGAAGTCCACTGTATGTCAGTGCACAGAAAGCTGGTTAGAAGTGTGTGGTTGCGTTTTAATGACGCTCTGGTAGGATTATTTCCACCATCAGTGTTCTGCACCTGACAGCAGGGATGTTGTATCTGAAAGTTAGAGTTTTTGAGCCAGTTGTTTATGTTAGGTACAAAGTTGATAGGACATTATTGTAAGCATTTATATTAAAAGTCAATGGCAACAAGCCAGTGGCCCAATAATGTTCTGCTTGTGTTCTTTTTCACCTGACACTGCTCTGAGGATGGAGCTTGTAGGTTCTTGTGATTCCTCTTTCCAGAGAGAGCCCTTTCTAAAGAGAGGAGTCTGTTGTAGAGGCTTCCTCTTGCTGTGAGTGTTACTCTAATAGAGCGGAAAATCCAGACCAGCCTGCTCGCCAGCCTGTTCTGCTGCTTGCTCTGAGGGTGAGTTCCCAGAGGATCTGCTCTGCCCTGAGCTCAGTGGGGCAGCAGAGAGGCAACACAGCCTTAGACTTGGAGGTGCCACTTGCCCTGTCTGCTCTGTTAGAAGTTTGTGAAGGGGAGGGGATCCCTCAGTGAACTCAGTGGGGATGAACAGCGAGGTCAGCCCTTTGCGACAACATGTTCTCTCTCTAGTCTGCTCATCCAGTGTCCTGTGTACCTCGAGCTGGCTGCTGGGGTATTGAAGGAGAATGGAACTATGTAACCAAGAATTAAACACTGCACAGAGTATTTGCTTTCAAATACTGAGTTTGATTTTATGTCTTCTAGATAAATAAGCCTAGATACAATGCTTTCTCCCTGTCAGTATTTGTCCTTACTTATAAAAGTTCACAGCTTGTGGATTATTGTTTAAGTACAATTGTGGTATGCTAACTTTGCGGTATTTTAAATGGATGCTGCTTGTTAGTTCACCAAAAATCAGTTCTGTTCGTACATATTGCTAAGGATGGAGTTAAATGAGACATACTGTCTGTAATATCCCTAGTATGGGTACACATAATTTCTCCTCCCCAGCCCTGTTAGCCAGTGTCAACCAAACAGAGGAGCAGATGGGAGAGAAAAGAAATAAGAATGGCATCGTTAGCAGCAAATACTGGTGCCTTTGAAACTCCATGTTTTAATTTGCACCTTTTTTCATAGTACAGAATTTCTTATTTGCAGATCTGACTTCAGTGCTCATGTTTTTCCTTGTGAATGTTGTGTTTTAAGGCATTTGCTGTTTCCAGTTGCGGTTCATTCAGTTGCAAAGAAGCTATACCAAAATATTTTGATCAAAGTATGTGGGAGTAGGGAGTAGAACAAGTAATAGACAAGAGCTGATTAGATAATAACTCATGTAACCAGACTAGCTCTGGTTCAACTTCAATTGATTTTTTTTTTTGCAAGTGCATCAAGCCTGATTTATCATAATCCATAGATTTAATCAAGCATAGAAAACACAAGAGCACGACAGGCATCCGAGAGTCGTCTGACGTTTTGCTCTACTTGGAGAACATTCCATATATTAGCAATCAATTACTCATTAAATCACATGTCATAAGCAGAAGCATGTGTGGTATTTATATTTTCCTGTATCTCCTTTGACCCTGAATTTATGCCATTTGTGAGCATGACCCTGCGAAGGGGGGCATAAGTGAACCCTAATACAGGGAGCCGGAGCAGGGTTCTAATGCCAGTGCATGAAGGTGTTTCAGTTTTGGAAGCCCTTGTCATCTTGTTCCCATGGAACAGGCCACCCCCCTGTACTGTTTTGGTTCTTCAGAAACATCATTGTATGTATTGTGGCATTATTGCAGCATCTGTCATAATTTCCAATAATTTCAGTCTTCATGTTCTGTCTCTAGTGCCCAGGTACATTCCTGTGCTTCCCTGCAGGTGTTCCGGCACCTTGGCATGCATGCCCTTTGTGAACAGTCTGAAGAAGCTTTTTTTGGCATGCTTGTGGTTCTTATTGTTGCTGTAAACACAAGCTTTGAAAGCCGTATGGGATGGCAAGCTAAAAATAACTTCTACCCTTGGTAATCTCTTAAGGAAAGATAAGTCATCTGCCTGGGCACTCTGGATGGATTCTCTGCAGTTCCCTACAATCAAGACCACAAATGGCAGTAAGCTGTGCCATCTGCTTTGGGGACACAAACCAGAGTTGCTATCGCAGATTGAGAGCAGCTAGTGCAGCCGGGCTGAGAGAAGAGCAGTATCCATGCCTTGAACTCACAGATCTTGTACTGTAGACTAGTTCAGTGTTCCTTTGATTCCAGCAAGTTGGAAAGAAAGGCATGCACATCCTATGGGGATGTCGTGCAAGAGGAATGATTTCACGAGTTTGATACTGCTAGGATAACTTTGCGTTTACTATTGGGAGAGTTACTCACTTGGCCCTCTTTCCTTACAGCAGCAAGGGCGCAATGATGGATAACCGCTTTGCTACAGCACTAGTCATTGCCTGTGTTCTCAGCCTCATCTCCACCATCTACATGGCTGCTTCCATTGGCACCGACTTTTGGTACGAATACCACACCCTGTCCCCAGCTGAGAATGTTAGTGAAGCTGGTAGGAGCATCTGGGAGGAATTTGTCAGCGAAGAGGCAGATGAGAAGACCTACACAGATGCGCTTTTCCGGTGCAACGGCACGGTTGGATTGTGGCGGAGGTGTATCACTGTACCCAAAAACTCCCACTGGTACAGCCCACCAGGTATCTCTGGAGCAATTAACTCTTCCCTAGCTTGCCTGGGGCGGTATGTGCAAACTTCCTCACAGCATATTCATACTACTTCATTCCTCCAGAATGCTTATTTCTAGCTTGTGTGTTTTGGTTTATTTTCTTTTTTAATAAAGACAGACTACACTTTTAAAGAATCAAAAGACTAATTGGTCTGTGGCTGTTAGTGCTACAGACTCTGGATTTCACACGTGATACTTGATCTAAATTTGATCTAGTATAACTTGATTTTCTTTTGCATTGGCTGTCCAACTGGGGATACAGTTATAGTTGCTTTGCCAGTTACTGTCTTTTTTAGGAGAGGTGCTGGGATTCAGCTATGGAATAAAGATACTACTTTATCAAGGGGCACTCACTCCTTTTAGCTAGTTGTTCATTTTGCTCGCATGTCACAAACGTCCCACTGTTGCATCGGCACATTTTTGCTTTCTTGTACCATAGCGCTGGGTATAGAATGAAATATTTGTATTCTTTTTCACAATGGTTGGGGGCTAAAAAAGTGTGTGGCGAGCAGTGACTGTAATTGCTTCAAAGTAGATTTTGGACACGTACTGTGTGTATGAAGCCCTTCAATTTGAACCCTCTTAAAAAAATGTACTCTCAAACACTTCTGGAGGAAAACTATCCCATTTTTGATTGAAGTGTTTAGTTCAATACTACATTCTGCGCATGAAGATGAGCACAGCTTAGTTAGAGGACTCTGAATACGAGGATATATAACAACAGAATTGAGCATTGTATGCCACATTTCTTTCCCAATCTGTCAAGCATGGCACATTTATCTGTGGATAGCCCAGGTAAGTTTGAAGATTCTGCATGTTTGAATGCTGTCCCTCATTGTAGTAACTAGGTTATGACAACTACATTATGCTAAGGCATCCTACAATTCTGCTTCGAGAGGTAATTTTTTCTCTCAAATGGAACTTGGCGGAGCTTCCCAGCTGAAATGATTGGGAATGAAGGAATTGAAAAGGGGGTAGGGGAAGGCACCTAATTTTTTTTCTTTTGTTTTTTCCCCCACAGAAACTGATATGACTACAAATTGCATCAGTTTTTCCCTCTCTGATCAGTTTATGGAAAAGTATGTAGAGCCTGGAAATCACAATAGCGGCCCAGATCTGAATCGGACTTGTAAGTGTCTTTTCACTTCTGGCAGGTAAACAAGTAGGATAAAAAAAAAGTTTCTCAAATACAGTCACTAGTGAGAAAGACATTTATCTCTTGCTCTGCATTTATTGTTTGGTTGGTTTTTTTACAGTACCACAGGTCAAAGTTTAAAAGAAAGATGTCTTTGCAAATATTTTGCCCATGAATGCAGTACAGGAATTTGGAGGTTAACAAATGAAGTTCCTCCTGCTTCAGTGTGGAGTCTTTGGTCCTTTTTAGCTATGTGTGTAGAATGTCTGATGAAGCAGAAGCAGCATGGATAGAAGGGAATATAAGACAGTGGGAAAAGATCAGTTTCTAGCACATCTTCAACAACTTTGTATCGTATTTTTTTCATATGCAGATCTCTGGCGACTGCAGTTTCTCCTGCCCTTTGTCAGCCTCGGCCTCATGTGCTTTGGGGCTCTGATTGGGCTCTGTGCTTGTGCCTGTCGCAGCCTTTACCCTGCCATTGCCACTGGAGTCCTCCATTTCCTAGCAGGTAGGTCTCCTGCCATCTACCTCTTCCAGAAGCTCGTAGCAACAGCCAGAGCACTTCAACAGTGAGCTCATTGTGCTTTACTGCTTTCTTCCCCAGGGCTTTGTACGCTGGGCCTGGTTGGCTGCTATGTAGCTGGGATTGAGCTGCTCCATAAGAAGCTGCCGCTGCCTAAAGATGTGAGGGGTGAATTCGGCTGGTCCTTCTGCCTGGCCTGTGTCTCGGCACCTTTGCAGTTTATGGCAGCTGCTCTTTTCATCTGGGCGGCTCGCACCAACAGAAAGGAATTCACTCTCTTGAAAGCATACCGTGTAGCATAAGTGCTGCTACCAGAGTATTGGATTTCCACGTTATAGCCTCTTCTCCTGCCAACCCTTACTATTTTTTTTTTCTTTTAGAGTTTTACCTTGTACTGCATGCTTCTTGCCAGTTGAGGCAATTAGCCTGCAGGCCCTGAAGACAAAGACCTCTGGGCTAAATGGCCAAACTCTGCCAGAAGTCTGCAGAACTTGAACAGGTTTTTAAATATTTTTTTTTAAGGATTATGATGATTTTTTTAAACTTCGTTTGGTTTTTGAGTATCTTCTCGATTAGGTGTACATGCCCCTTCCTAATTTTATTACCCTGTCAGCCTGGAGGAAATAGGATTGGTGGCGTGATGTGGAAGAGAGATAGGAAAACAAAAGGTACAGGTTGACAAGAATAGGAACCTCAGTGCACAAACAATAAATAATTGGGAGCTATTTACTGTGTGCCCCAAGCAGGCAGTACCTACAGAGAGTATCTTAGAGTCATGGCGTAACTTGGAAACCTCTGTTACGGAAATACTGTAGCTAAATCAGTCTCACAGCTTAGCTTTGGGTCTCTTATTCTCACTGGTTTGCTACTTTCTGTGGCCTCTACCCAAGCCGATGCAGGCAGAACAGCCAGCAGTGGGAGTGCCTGCCTAGCACACCATCCTGAACACAGACTCTGTGCTTGCTTTTGCCAAGGAACAGGAGAAGTTGCCCCATGTGAAGCTTTGTGCTGCTCTAGCTACACTGCTTCCAGGACCCAGGCTAGTTTGGTATCTACACTACGTGTGATTGTGCACTCTAATCTTAACTTGTGGTGCTTTGGCTTGCTGTGAAATAAGGCTTTCTTCCCTCTTGTTGTGTTGAAAATGACCCCTCATGAGTTTGTTGATTTTAATTTGGTTTAGTGTATGTGTGTATATGTACATATATAAACTTAACTTTTTTTAAAGCTCACCTATTTATCCTATCTAGCACACAACAGGGTTTTTTTAAAAAGGTGCTGCTCTTTTCCCATCTTGTCCCAAACCTATTGTTTAAATGAAATAATAATAAAAAAAGCTCTGAAATTTTCAGCATTCCATTAATCTGATGGGGGAGGGTGAGGGAATGGTCTGAAGTGAGTTTTACTTGGGGAAAGAAAAGCCAATGTCTAGATTGCTCTCTGTTTTCAGGGAAATGTCACCAGAAACAAAGATGTTAGATTTTTTTTTTCTTTTTTTAAATTAGATTCTTGGCCACCTTTGCATTTTTTCCTGCTCATCTTCTGCTACAGTGAGAATGAATGCCTCTTCTTCCCTCATCTAAAATGCTCTGAAGTGTGTTTTGGGAAAGGTGTTTGGGTTTTGTTGGTTGTTTTTTTTTCTGTTCTTTGTCACTTAAGGTTGGCACCAACTTATGTACCAGCTCACAAGTCTGTCTCTAGCAGTACTTAGTTCTGTGATTTAAGGCAATGACTTCTGAAAAGCTCTTTCCTGCCCACTAGCTTCATGTGTACTCAGCCAGCACCTGCTATCCAAAGAGAAATTCTGAAGTGTTAGCAGCTTGTCATCATTGTATCTTCGGCTGATTGTCCACCCTATCTGTGTGTTATTTCCTGCTTGAGTAGATTGTGTGTCTCAACAGAGGAAAGGTAACATCTTGAAGCTCCTATCTTATTTTTTTTTCCCATTTCACATTTCCTTGTGAATAGCTAGAATATTGTGCTATAGAGATTCTTTATAATCTGGTTTCTAATAGGAAAGGATCAAAAGTTTGTGTGTTTACTGCTAACTCTTCTTTTGCTCTAGAATGTTACTCTCACCATCTATTTTTATACAACTTTCAAAACTGCAGAGTGCAAAGTGAAGCCTTTGTTCAAGTTATGGCTGAGCTGTATGACAGTGGAAGAATGGATACTCTGTCACTGGAAGGCTGAATAGGTATCTGGATATGGCAATAAAAGCAATCTGCAGAATTACACTTCACAAGCACCTCTGCCGACGGATACATGCCAAACCTTTATACAAACCAATGACCCCTGAAAAAAATCTGACAGTGATAATGTGTTCCACTCCTCTCTCTCATCTTCCCTTCTAAAATTACCACTTTTAAAAATAACCATAAGGACAGTGTTTTATCTATTGATTGGGTTAGAGCAATGAGTGTCGGATGTCTCTGTGCTCCTTGCTTTCTGTGCGTAGGCAACGGTGAAGATGATAATTGATTTTTGCACAGGATCCAAGCATATCTACCTTGGGTTTTCCAAGGTGAGGATTTAAAATTTTCAAGGAAACTGTAACCTTTTGTTTAATGAAAAATAATTATTACTCAATCAGAATCCTCCTTAAAAAAAAAGTGATGTTTTTTAAAATATTATTCTTTCTTTTTCCAGCTTTCACAAGTTTTTCATCTGCCTCTTTTGGAGTGTCTCATACATTAAATGGTTTTAGAATATTATCTTTTTTAGATTGATTGCAAATAAGATAATCTTCTGTTGTGTTTTGTATCATCTGAGAAGAGGGAACTCTTATGTAACTTTTTAATGGACCTACTAATTACATTTGTAATTTGGACTAGTTCTTAGTATCAAACATGCATATTTTTTTTAAACTTGGAGTACCTATTAAAAATAAGATTGATCCAAACATGCTTAATAGTTGTTCAAAAAAGTCAATAATGAAGTGTTTCCAGAGCAGTTTGTTAGCAAGAACTCTTTCTGTCCCATGTAATGACCTACCATGTGTCTGTGGCTCCCTGCCAGTGTGCCCCATTGCGTTTCCATACCCACAAGCTCCGTGGTGGAGACTCAGTGTTAGCTGTAGGAGTCAGTGTCCTTCGCTCTGTCAGGTGAGTGATTTCTCAGCAGTGGCCAACTGTGATGTGATGTGCTGTAAGTATACTCTTGGGCTAAGTTCTGAATCAGTACTGCACTGAATGGTGAGGTTTTTCCTTCCTTTGAAGCCAAGTACAGCTTGTACCTTTAGCAAATTTGAATCTTTGGGAAATCTCTCTGCAGAGTCTGGTAGCAGACACTGTTGGCAAAGTGACCGTGGCAATACCTTTTTACATTAAATGATTTCTATGTAAATTCATTGAGAAACCTCCCTCATTATCAGAGGATTTACCTGTGACAAATGCATGTAAAGAGCATTAAAGCTGACCATCTGATACATGGATTTAATCGTTGCTGGAATCCTCCAGCTAATCACCAAACTGGTGTGTGTTCTGGAGCACTGGCTGTGGTTGAGAGCAGGAGAGAGCTGGAGTGGCAGTGCAGAGCGGGTGCTAATTTTCTGTGATGCCTCAGCTCTGCCAGAGCCTTCCTGCCTATGGGCAATGCTGATAGCAGACGCTGGAGAACTGGTTCCACAGCCTCTCTCGATCCTTCCTGGGTCTCAGCCCTGCGCTGTACCATGCTCCCTTACCACTGCCGATTCCCTAATTTGAACAAACTACTTGTGTAGGTGATTTTGCCACCCCTCCAACCCTCATTAAATTGCTTTGTTTGAGAAAGGGGTGGGGTTCTTCTTCACCAGAAATAAGCTGTTTTCTATGTGCTTCCTGGACTTCTTGTTTTGCAAACAAATCTCTTTTGTCTTCCACTCCAGTGACCCATTTAACTAGCTCACTTGGATTTGCATTTCGATGTTTACTTCCACTTAAAACAGCAGCAGCGGCCATGTAAAACCACAGCATCTCCCCACTGCTAGAGCTGCTTGGGTTCTCCAAAGGTCTTCAGGTTGTGGAAGGTGGTTAACCACCCGCAAATGATGAGGACATCGCAAACGGCATCAGTAGCTGGATGCTGCTGGAGGAGTTGCCCCTGCCTCCCAGTGCTGAACTGAGAGGTGAGGCAGGAGGAGCTGGTGAACAGGGCATGGGCTGCCGTGGGAAATGAGCGGTCCCTGACAGGGGGTGGCAAGCTCTGGAGCAGCTTCGCTGTCCTGCTGAGGCATTCACTGCAGGCCTGTTCAGGAGGGACAGCATGGAAAATAGATAAAGATTTCCCCTGCAGGCCTGGGGTTGAGAAGGAGCTGTAGCAGCCAGGGCTGTCTTCTGCGGGGAATACATGTTATGGGGAGAGGGAGCCAAACCTGTTCTGGAGCAGACAGGAGTGTTTCACCTTTGTGAGCTTACAGGAGTGTCATCACCTAGGTAATAGACTTGTTACTCCCTTCCTGTCGCCTCGATTCTTTCTCCCAGCTCCTGCACTGTTTCTCCCTGCTCCATTTTCTCATAGCCTCTTTTACCACAATAAATAAACTAGCTGCACACTTCAGAGGCACATTGTGCCATACTCAGAGGACCTTAAGTCTGTCCACGTCTCTGTCACACGCCCAGTTGGGTGCATCTGGAAACCCTAACGCCAGCTAATTGGAAATGCTAGGCACAGGAACTTTTGTTACAGCTAACTATGTCCCTGAACACCTTTAAAGCACTGGCACCCTGGGTGCTATTGGCTCTGCTTTGGCAGGTGCTCAGCTTATGGTTTAATTTCTCTGCATCCAGTGTTTACCTTAATTTGTAGTAATGGATTTACATAGTACAGTCTGCGCTAAAGGAGCTCTCGTTCCTGCCAGCTGTCTCCTTCTGTTACGCTCCCTACCCTGGGTCATCTTCACCCTAGGAGATGCCAGTAGGGAGCTGACAGATTCTTGATATTTCAGCATTGTTCATGTTCAACAAACTGGCAAGGAAACAGCGATCAATTGTTGAACAAAGTGAACAAAACCCCTGCACTGCCATCATGTGCAATGCAAAGATTCTGGTTTACAGGTAAAGACAGTTTGGGGGGAATTTTCCTCCCCTCCCATTTTTCAGGGGCTGCATCATATATTCAGCTCAGGTTTTTCCTTTATTGCCAGTAATTTTTAGATTAACTGCTAGAGTTTCTAAAAACTATTTGAGTCATCTTTGTCTTCTCGCTGAAAAGGAAGATTTTTCAACAAAGATGTCACTAATTTCAAGCTCCCCAACCCAAGGAAAAATCTTGAGAGTTACTTGAAGCAGTGAGAAATAGGTGGGACAAAGAAAGTCACTGACAATGAAGGCTTGGGAAGATGGATTTCAGAGATAGGTAATTTTTTTCTGTAGGTTTCCTTTTCTGGGGTGCAGTAACTTGGGAGCTGCATAAAAGATACAGGAAATAATTGATCTTCACTTGATCTTGTTCAGCCTCAGCTGCTGATGTTTGTTGGAGTTGTAGATAGTTGCGGGTATCCTGAGAGGA